TGACTACATTAAATTGTTCATGGGCTCAGAAATGTTTCCAAATTCTTTCTAATTTCTGCAAAGTTTAGTCACGCTGACTCATACACTGAGCAACACAATGACAGTTGGAGGATGTGATGAAATTAGGCAGCAACAAAGAGTTCTCTAAAACAGTAGCCGTGTTTTCTACACATTGTTTTTTAATTCTGCGTTGGTGTGATCCCGTTATTAGTTTTAACTCAGTTTTCAAAGGAAGCAAATGAAATGTATGACAAACTTGGCAAAACCTCCTTCTTGTTGTCAGCTGTCTGTGGACAGGAACTATCGCGCTGGCTGTCCCACGGTGCTCTACAGAACCAGTGATGACCGCAAAGTGTTTCCCAAATTACACCTGGATCCAGTGGATCAGAAACATGTGTATGTGCCATTTAGTAACCAGGTACTTATATTTTTTAGCGATTATCTGTACGTCACATGTACCTGTGCTGCATTTTACAGTGTTTGTTGTTCTAGATAAAGCGAGTTCCTGTGTCGAAGTGCAGCACGTACACAAATCTGCAGGCGTGTTGGTCTGCACAGGATCCATACTGTGTGTGGTGTGGCTCTAAACGCAGGTGAGAGAAACAACACGTGCAGCCGACGTCTTCAAACAAATCTGAACTTGGTGATCATTTCTTTATCTTCTCGTAGCTGCACTTTTGAAGATGACTGCACAGATTCAGACTGGCTGTCCATTCCCGATGAGTCCCAACACAAAATGATTTCCCACAGAGTGGAAAAGGACACAAACGGACAGGTGCAGCTTACAAACACACTCAGGGCTGTAACCATTTGTGGCTTTCAGTTATTTGTCACTTTTGTTCTTCATTTTCAGATCTCACTAAAAATCCACACACACCTGTCTGTGGGTGAAGAAGTGTTATCGAGGTTTGCCTGTCAGTTTGCTGCGAGGTCCGGCTCGATTTGTGTTCCGAATAGCCCTCCTCCACAGTTCCCACAATGCACCTGCATCCTGTCTGATCGTACACTTCCTGCTGATGGTCAGTGACTTTTCAGAAATAATTCCAAGAATTAAAAACTTTAATTCTAAAAAGTTGTTTATTGATTTGCAACATTTGCCAACATAAGAAAATTTATTATACTCAGAAATAATGATAGAGGTTCTCTGACTCTGTTTATTATTATTATATACTGGTTCAGCTCATTAAAACAGACATATCACTAATAACAGAGACACTGACATTCATCATAAGTTTCTTTTTTTTTAAATTTACAGGTCTTGATGTCACAGTAAAATTCAGACTTGGGACATCACCACTGTCACAACAACTGGAGTTAAACGACTGCTCTAACATCAGGGGAGCGCCAAGTTTCGAGTTGTAAGTCCATCAATATCAGAAATAATTCAACGACTCACTGTGGACAGACTACAGCACATCAGACAGATCAGACAATCAGGTCACGGTTAGAAATCAGAGAGAATGAAACCTTCATGACCAACGCTAGAAAAGTTTAATAATTGTAACTGTATCAGACGTTGTTAGCGAGTGGTCTTTATTTTGGTGTCGTATAGCCATCGTCAAGACGAAAAGGACGTCTGGAGGTGTACAGAGACTTTTTACACAGGAATTTTTATCAAGTGAGCACTCGTAATGTGCTGTGGTCTGGAGTTTCCCCAGAGCAACATCATCATTATTGTTAGATGTTGTTAGTCAGCACAGTAAACTAACACAGCTTCCTAAATTCAGCTGTAGTCGGAACAACTTGATGGACAATCAGCTGTTTTCCTGTAATTCCTGCAGAATAACGCAGACTGAATGTTTCTGCATGTGCACGCCAAGACTAAAGCACACATGAGACTAAAATATAAGAAATTAATAAATGAGATATTAGATAAAAGACACATGAAAAGTACGACAGCCGTAACATCCTCGATTCCTCGACTGCTTTCCTCTTGTCTCGGCGAGTCCCACCAGACGTGTGAGCGCAGACACGTCTGCAAAAAAAATAAAAAATTTTCAGCTGCAAGGAATATTTTTGGTAAATTTTATGTTTTGTAGGGTGCTGAATCCAAAAGAGAAATTTACATTTTAAAAAAAAGCACAATGGCGATGAAAAATCAATATTTTATTCCAATTAACTCGGCATAATTTATCTGAGATTTCTTATTTTCACTGTGAACAAAATAAACCTGTTGGGACGCGATCATCTGAGCTCCTCACACTGCCACTGGACCCCCCCCCTCCTACTGACCCCCCTTAATTCCTCGCATTTTCTATGTGTATTTCTCCTGAGTTAGAAATATCAAATTAATGTAAGTAGGGATGCACCGATACCGATACTGGTATCGGGTA